TGAAGGTCTGTGACTGTCACTGGACAGACAGGGAAGGAGAGGCAGCAGCACCAGGAGAGAAGGGCTGAAGACAACCCTGCAAAAGCTACAGCGTCGGGGGCGGCTGCAGAGGAGCTCCCAAAGGGATGAGGGAAAGTCCTGGGGGGAGAGTGGGATCCAAGGAGGAAGGAAAGGATTCCAAGCAGGTTTGCCAATGGCCAGCCATAACGGATACCAAGGAAAGATTGAGCCAAGTGACCTGTGTCCTCTGCCGTGACCCTGGAAGTCTAAGTGGATTCAAGCCAAGACTCCCGTGGGCTGAAGTGCCAGTGAAAATCAGGAAATCAAACAGAAGGCCCAACACCAGGAAACTGTCAGAAGTCTGAAGAGGGGAGGGAAGAGGAGATGGTTTGGAACTAGGGTAAAAAGTTGGCTGTTTAGTAGGATGGGAGACACTTGAGGCAAAACAGTGGATGGGTGTCTGTCCCTGGGGTTGGGGGGCGGAGGAGGAGGGGTCAAGAGCCCAGGTTAAGGGAGCTTCCTGTCCCCTCCCCTCTGTTTCCCCTCTGGGGCCCATTCTGAGCGCCTAGCCACCACCCACCCAAACTTTTTTAAATTAGAGCTTGTTGTCAGTTAACACTTCATAGGAAATTTAAGGAATAACCCTTCCCAAGAAAGTGTTCACTTAGAAACAGGAGATGGCCTAGGAATCCCATCTGTTTCTCTTTCTCTTCTACCTAAAAGCTAAACATGCCCTGTTCCCCATGCCCTGCTCCTAATCCCCACACTCACCCTACGCCCTGGCCTTTGCTTCTGCACGTAGAAATCTAGTTCATGCTTTTCCCTGCAGATGGGAGGAGCCGTCACCCACCTTGAAAACCTTGGCTAACTAGTTGTCAGCTCCTGGTGAAGCCGGCCAGGGGGAGTAAGAGCAAAGAGGCTGCGGAGTTGACCCCTGGACATCATTCTCCATCACAGGGGCCAAGTCAAAACCAAGCCTGCTCAAGGCTTCAGTTTCCCCCTCTGTTGTATGAGGGAGTTGACTGAGATCACTGTGGTCCCTTCCCAGGCTGTGGCTGCGTGGTGTTCTAGACACGCAGAGGTGAAGCTCAACCGCAGGCCTCCTGTACATTGGCACGTCTGGGCCCTGTGGACTTGTAGTCAATTCGACCTGAATTCTAAGAGCTCAAGTGGGGAAAGGGACAAAATAATGATCAGCTTCCTGCTGACCCCTTAGAGGTTCCCCACATCCTCTAGCCTCTCACTTCCTCTACTCTGCCTTCCGAAAATCATGACTAGCAAGCTCGGTTTGTCAGAGCACCAAACCAAAAGTGAGAAGACAGCCTAGAATCCAGCCATTTTCTGGCCATAAGATTTTGAATAGGTTAGTCCATGTCTCTGAGTCTCAGTTTTCTCATCTGTAAAACAGGATCAGTGATACCTGCCACACAGTGATATCAGCTACTCTATAAAGTTCTATGTGTGAAGTGCCTTGCACAGAGCCTGATGTGCAAAAGGTCCCTGTTTAAATATTTCTTGAGCCTGAATGCTTGTGATAGGAGGCCACAACTTCTGCAACTTCTAATTCTGCGGAACTAATATTGGAGCATGTCAACCTGAAAAAAAATTTTTCTTTTTATTAGTATTCCAGAAACTGGAACAGAATTTTTCCTTAGTACATTCTTGGTTGCTTTGTCCAGTATTGGCGCTCTCCCTCCATCTGAATCAGGAACAACATTTTCACATTCCTTTCAACTGATACAATTGCAATCCAGTAATTCTCAAGGTAATAAAATAACTCTCTTGCCAGATCGATTTTTTTTCTTTCTTTCTCTTTCTTTCTTTCTTTCTTTCTTTCTTTCTTTCTTTCTTTCTTTCTTTCTTTCTTTCTTTCTTTCTTTCTTTCTTTTTTTTTATTTTCCTTGACAACAGAAAGATGCTTTTTTCCTTCCAGAAAAGAAGTGACATCACCCTGTCAATGTTAAATTCTGGCAGGAAAAAAGCTGCTAAAGTGGAAATACAAAAAATATTTTGGCAACAGCCAGGAATGAGAAGTTGGTTGTGTATATTTCATGGATACAGGGTACTCTATTTATTGGCAAGGATCCTCTCTGTGGCCAATGCTTATTTCTAAAATAATTCCCTTTTCAGTGCACATGGCAAATTGGTTGCATTAATGGCCCCAATTTTGGGTTTTTGTTTTTCTTTTTGCTTTTATCTCTTCCTTTGCTCTGTCACCTTGCAGTTCCCCTCCATAAAGAGGCAGAATCTGTTAACGAACCCATCTCTTGGTTACTTACTTACTTTGGTTTGTGGGATGTTAGTGGTCATGATGTAAGTAGAAATTTTTTAAAGTGCTGGTGTGTTCCCACTAGTTCTTTTGCACCCCTGACATTACCATGAAAATGTGCCAGAGGGATCTTAGAGACGCATAGAGGACAGCCAAGTTGTCCAAGCCAAGGCCGCCCTAGACCAGCCTAGACCTATCAGCTGACCACAGATAAATGAGCAAACACACCTACATTAACAGAACCACCCAGCGGACCCAAAGGCTTACCAGCAAAAATAAATGTTTACTGTTATAAGCCACCAAAGTTTTGTGATCATTTGTTACACAGCAGTAGCTAACCAATAGAGTACATTTGCTTAAAATGTTGGTGCATGGCTGTGACCTATGACCTCTGCAACTGAAATGGTGAACAAATTCTTGTAATTTAAGCTCCACTGATATTGCAGTTAGCAACCTAAAGAGGTAGTTTGAAATCTGCATTCCAGGCAAGCTTCCCCTTAATTGTTCCTTAAATACTGTCTGCTCATTCCTGCTCTGCCTTTGTACATTTTATTTCTCCTTTCTGGAATGTCCTGCCCTCTCCTCCCTATTTGACTCATATCACATCTCCAAGGATCTACCTAAAACCAATCTTTCCTGAATAACCTACTGTGATTGCCCCTATCTCTCCAGCCTATTAACTCTTGGGTATTTCTTGCCTGAGCCATGAATTGGATACCTGACCCATGTTGCCTTTCATGGCTACTGTTTCTTACCTGCAGTTGTTTATTAAACTCTAAATTCCAAGTTCCTGCAGGGCAGGGGCCCTCTTATACTTCTTCTATCACCCAAGCCTTGCATAGTACCTTGAAAAGATACCTAGAAGTATAGAATCTTTCACTTAAGACTTTAATATTTGTAGGTTGACTGGCACTGGGGGGCTAATTGTTAGGTATCATTGCTAATGAATAAAGCCAGAGACATGGATGGGTAGATGGATGAATGGGTGGTTAGATAGATGAATGAATGAGTGAAGTTAAAGGATTTCAGACCTGAGTTTATAGAATATTACCCTATTCTACTATAACTCCCACTATAAAAAGAAATTTTACCTTAAAAGGTCACCTTTCCCCTGAAGATTTTACTGGCTTCCCATGCTCAAATTAGATATGCCCTCTCCTTCTTTCCAATATGTGTCTTATCTCTTTACTTGTGTGTCTGCTGGGAGCTTTCACTAGTTCCCCCTGGGTGATAATCACGTTCTTCCTTCTTTCCCACTCACCTCCACCATACTCCATCCTCACAAACAGACGCCCCTTAAGAGCAAGGCTATACTTTCATTATGTGTGGAGCTCTAGCACCTGCGAGGGTGCATACTGTTTAGGGCATACTCGGCAAGCATTTAACTGTTTTAGTTATCCCTTCTCCGTGTTTATTTTAAATGCCCTAGTCCAGGTCCTCATCACTGCTCATACAGACAAGTACAAAAGCCTTGTAACTGGTCTTCTTGCTTCTACCCTTGTCTTCTGCCTTCACTTTTCTACCAGTTGGCAATACACAAGTAATGGAATTCAATTTAAAAGGAAAACCCAACCAGACTATACTCCTGCTAAAAAACCCTCCTAACAAGCCCCTCTCCTCTTCAAGGGAAAAGCCAAGCTCTTAGGCTTGGCATGCAAAGCCCACGAAGATCTGCCCCAGCCTACATGGATAGGGTAGACCCTCTCCTCTCACACCAGCCTCAAATTTTCTTCCAACAGGAGGGTACAGCCTGTGTGTCACTGTCCATGCCAGACTGTTTCTCCCCAGCTGTTCCTTGGCCTTCTTCCTCCCTAGACAACTCATTGACTCACTTGACCCAGCCCAATCCATGCCCAATCCACCCCTTCCTGCCCACCAGCTTCCCCCTGGCCACTTTAGGTGCCTCACTGATGGTTGCCACATTGCACTGTGATCATCTGATTTAATGGAAGCTTCCTGAGAACTCTAGGACTGGAGTGGTGTTAAATTGGCCCAGGTTCAGGGCCAACTGTAGTATTTAGGCACTCTTCTGCCACCTTGCTGCCAGCCCACATTGAGCAGATGGAGATTTACTTACATGTCTCGTGATGGTGATGATGGAAGCGAATATTCACTGAGCACCTACTGTGCGCCAGACATCGTTCTAAGTGCTTCACATGAATTGGCTCATTCAGCTCTCACAGCAGCCACATGGGGCACACACTATTAGTAGCCCTATTTTAGAGATGAGGGTTAGAAAATGTTAAATAGCTTTCTTAAGGTTGCACAGCTACTAAAAGTAGAATCTGTGTGCAAACCGAGGCAGCCTGACTCTAAGAGCCTGTCATCTTTACCACCACCACATGTCACCTGAGTTTTATATGGGTCCAGGGACCCTTATTTCATTTCCTCTCCCAAGATGGAAGATGAGATATGGGCCAAGAAGAGAAAAGCTTTGGTTGCTTTGTTTATTTATTCTGTTTACATAAATTCCCTCATCATTACCAAATGACACATACAGAGGCAGGATGAGGCCCATCTTTTCTCATTTTTATCTTTATATGTTTACTAAACCATGAAGATACCCTTTTCACACCCAAATTTGTGTGATTAGCAAAGAACGGTATAATGCAACCAGTTTTGCTTTTTGCAAGCCATTGTGTTTCTCAGTGGCTGAAAACCACACTATTGCTTCCTCTTTACCTTTGCGTGAGAGCACAGCACTTGTCATTCAGCTTCTGAGCAACATCAGTGACACAGTGCCGGGACGGGAAAGGCCTGTGCTGGCCCAAATGGCAGGCATCTCACATGTGGCATCTTTCTTTCTCTTTGTGAGTAAGTTTCCTAATCCTGAATGTTTCCATTGTCGCAGGAGCTGGTCGCCTGGAGCCTGCTGGGTGATGGAGTGGGACAATTTGTTCTCTATGGGAACAACTATGCCATGTATTTCTAATGTTGGCAAAGCTTTCTAACTTACTGATGACAATTCTTGGCTTACCTAGACATCCTTGAGTTCTAGGAGGTGCAATGCTTGGTTGGGTTCCTTGCAGATGATGCAACTGTTTTTTTTTGTTTGGGTTTTTTTTTTTTTTTTTTACATTTGTCTGTGTTGCCAGATCTGCCAGTTTTGCTTAGCCCTGGCTTTCCCTAATCTTCCTGGGCTGACCATCCCAAGAGAGAGTAAAAGACTTTGCTTCCCAGACTGAGGGGAGGACTCAAGGTTTGCCAGATGTTAGAGTTTGATTATATAAATATGCCTTGGGGATGTGGCTGGATGGGGGAAAAGGTGATGAGAGCACTTAGTAGTTTTAGCAGACAAACTACAAGAAGGTTCTGAATTTTACCTGCCAGCCAAAGTGGGAATTTGCTACTGACAGACTGAGAAGGGAACAGGAAGATTCATTTGGCTCTGCTGAGGGCCATGTGGAGGGCCTTACCTGGCCCAGGAGCATTTATATATGTTATAACAGGGTAGAGGAAGGAGAAATTTGGAGGTAGAAGGGAGAATCAGATGAATTGGGCAGGGAATGAAATAGTTTCAGACCAAGTAGAGCAGGTAGCAGGGGTTTTTTTTTGCATGTATGTGCTACAGCTTCTTTGAGTATCTGGTGATGCTTATAGACCCCATCTCAGAATAATTTTTTAAGTGCATAAAATAAAATGCACAGGGTTATAGAGAAAAATCAGTCATATTAAAATAGTTACCAAAATATGTTTAATGTATTGTGATGAAGTAATTTATTTACTTCTTTATGCATTACATAACAGAATCTAGAGGTAGGTCTATAATGCACCAAACTTCAAAGTACTGATGAGTATGAATAATATTTCAATGTATCTGTAACATTTGTAATGTGATGTGAAAATATCTGTGCATTGTTGTCTATATTCATAACCGAAGAAAATTCTAAGTTTCTGTTAGAGGTTAATGAAAATAAAGATGTAGGAGTGTTTTTTCACGCTAGTCTATGGACCCTTTCATCCTATATGTACACAGGGTTAAGAACTTTGCATGAAGTCAGGTACGGTGGCTCATGTCCATAACCCTAGCACTTTGGGAGGCCAAGGCAGGAGGACTGCTTGAGGCCAGGAGTTCGAGACCAGACTAAGCAACATAGCACGACCTCTTCTTTACAAACAAGTAAAAATAAATAAAAAAAAAATTATCCAGGCATTGTGGCATACACCTGTAGTCCAAGCTACTCAGGAGGCTGAGCCAGTAGGATAGCTTAAGCCCAGGAGTTTGAGGCTGCAGTGAGGTATGATGATGCCAGTACACTTCAGCATGTGTGCCAGATTAAGACTGTATCACAAAAAATAAATAAATAAATAAAAGAAAAGAAAAAAGAACTTTTGCTTTAGAGAGACTGGGTAGAGTGAGTTACTGCAGAGACCAGAAAGGCTGGGATGACGGAGGAAGTAAACCCAGCTATAATCGGTGTGACCAGGGCTGTGGCTAAAGAATTAAAGAAGTACAGCATTCAGCACAAAGGGTTTGCTTAATAAACACTGGTTGAGTTGAACCAGGTTCATATCTCAAGGGATATAGGATAATATGAGGCAAGGATCAGATCTGGGGCCTGGTGGAGAGAGAGGCAGTCTGCAGTGGAAGTTACTAGGACCACTTGCTGGGGGACGGACGCCGGCCAGACTGGCTGGGCAGGTGTTGATGGATAGGTGCACTTCTGGGATCCTTGGGAGGCTGGTGTGTTTCTCTTTGTTCTGTTCAGTTGCTTGAGTGTGATTCTCAAGTGTATGTGTTTTGTGCATTTGGAGTGTATATTTGCCTTGTGCATAGGGGGAAACTAGGTTTACATTGTGCAATAATTCAGGGAATTGCAAATTCTGTCTCTCTCTCTCTCTCTTTTTTTTTTTTTTGATAAGTAGTCTGGAAGGCCTAGGGAAGCAAAAGTAGTAACCAAAGTTCAAAAAGAGGAAGCTTTTTCTTAATTCTTTTAAACAATTACGTAGTCTGGGCGCAGAGGCTCAGGCCTATAATCCTGGCACTTTGGAAGGCCAAGGTGGGAGGATTGCTTGAGGCCAGGAGTTTGAGACAAGCCTAAGCAACATATCAAGACCCTATCTCTATAAAAAGTAGAAAAATTAGCCAGCATTATGGCATGTGCCTATGGTCCCAGCTACTCAGAAGGCTGAGGCAGGAGGATGGCTTGAGCCCAGGAGTTTGAGGTTGCTGTGAGCTGTGATGACACCGTTGCACTCTAGCCCTGGCAACAGAATGAGACCCTGTCTCAAACAACACAAAGCAAAACAAAACAAAAAATCCCAGATACTTAAACTGGTTATATATTTATTTCTTCTACATTCTGACTCATCCCAAGCACTAATTTTTTATAGAATCACAATTTCTATGTGAACAATACATCAGGAAGTAACTTGAAAAAGCTTTGGAAGCCTGTTATTCACCATTACAAATATAGAGAGGAAACAAAGGAAATTAATTAAATGATATTCAATTGATCAATTATATTGTTTAACAAGTGTATACTTTGTCCCAACTTATTTTTTTCTATACATATAAGGACTGAATAATCCTGTTAGAATATGGTGCTGAATGAGGTTAATATCATGGGTAAATGAGATCTTGGACTTAGCAGTTAGCTCGGTCTGCATGATCTACCACCCCTCATCCTAAGGAGCCACCCTGCAAATCAGAGCCATTAACATGGCAGGGGTGGGTGAGGGGCTATGTTTGTCTTACAGTGATTGCATTCATAAAAAAAAAAAAAAAAAGATTCCACTTTTGGAAATGGATGGGAGCTATCTCAGCCTCCAATCATATAGGGTTTTTGAATCTGTAAAGAAAGAGAAGCTGCTTATTATGTTGGCTGTTTTCTAGGTAGGTTTTCTATAAGGTAGAATTATTTGAAATTGCTGGGGTTTTGGTATCAAAAATAGTCAAACATGGGCCATTTTGTGTGGTTCAACCTAATAGTTTCCATTGAAATAATACTGCAATGGTAAATTTGACAATTCCAGTGATATTTTTCAAAAAGGCCAATGCCATTGAAGAATTTTTTATGTTTTGAAAGCATGATTCCAGCATTAGTGTATCAGTGCCCAAGCTGTGTACTCACTGGCCACCAAGAATTTGAGCCACTGTTCAAAGGCACCTAACCCTCTGTCCATGAAAAGAGAAAACAATAGCACAGTCCTTATAGGTATTTTACTCTTTAGGAGGAAGAGAGATATGTACTTGCAACAGCCCACAGAGAACATATTTAAAATAAAATGCTTTGAGTATATGATTCCAAGGCACAGCTGTTGGAACTGATATTTGTCAGTCATTTCTTCCCACCTCAAAAATGCTTCTGAAACCTCCACACCATTTCTTCCACTTTCTTGAGAAAGCTGTATGTCTTAGTCTGTTTGGGCGACTATAGCAAAAATACCATAAACTGGGTAGCTGAGAAACATCAGGAATTTATTTCTCACAGTTCTGGAGGCTGGGAAGTCCCAAGACCCATGGGCCCGTCAGTTGAGGGCCCATTCCACATAGGCGGCAGCTTCTAGCTATGTCCTCACATAACAGAAGGGACGAGTGGCTCTCTGGGTTCTTTTAAAAGGGCACTAATCACTCCCCAAAGCCCCACCTCCTAACACCATCACCGTTGGGGGCAGGTTTCAGCATGTGAGTTTGGGGAGGGCACAGACCTTCAGGCCATAGCACAGCACCGTTCCAGTCTCTCCTTGACCTCACACCTCTACGAGGACCGTACTCCACTCATCCTCCTCCTTGCCTTAACTCAGTTTCCATCCTGCCCCTCACCACCTCTCCTCACCCAGCTACTCTTTCCAGCTGCCACCCTGGTCTTCTCGTTCCCTTCTCCATGAAACTTCTTGAAGTGTTTATACTTCCTGCAGTCACTTCTTACCCTGGGCACTGCTGCTTCTGCTCTATGGAAATCACTTTTACAAAGATCTCCATGGACATCCTCAACATCACAGTAGAAGGATTTTTCTCTCCCTTCAAATGCCCCTACCTCTCAGCAGCCTTTGGCCGTCCGGACAAGCCCTTTCCGATAGGAACATTCTGCTTCCTTTGGTTTCCAAGCTGCTGTGTCTGGCTGCCCTTCTACCCCCCAAACCTTCCTTCTGTAGGTTTTGTTCCTCAACCCATCCCCTAAATAGAGAGATTCCCTGGTAACCTCTCCTTAGCCCCTCTTCCTTATATTCCCTAACACTTCCTAATGCTTGCAGGTAACTGACCTATCCTACATCTCTAGCCCAGAGCTCTCCCCAGGTAAGCCATTTGCAGGAGGCATTGAGAAACAATGGAGATAGCCATGGATTAGGTATTTGCAGATCTAGTAACCAGAGTTTAGGAAGGGGAAGCTGGAAGTTTTTTCTTAACCCTTTGAAACCCTTTGAACCCTTTCCTCAACCCTTTACTTAGGCTTTTGGGGTAGCTCATGCCTGTAATCCTAGCACTTTAGGAGGGAGAGGTGGGAGGATTGCTTGAGGCTAGAAGTTCAAGACCAGCCTGAGCAAAAGCCAGACCCCATTTCTACAAAAAAAAAAAAAAGAAAGAAAGAAAGAAAGAAAGTAAGAAAGAAAGAAAGAGAAGAAAGAGAAAGAAAAAAAAGAAAGAAGAAAGAAGAAGAAAGAAAGAAGAAAGAGAAGAAAGAGAAAGAAAGAAAGAAAGAAAGAAAGAAAGAAAGAAAAAAATTAGCCAGGCATGGTGATGCGTGCCTGTAGTCCAAAAAAAAAGAAGAAAAAAAAAAAACAAATAAAAAAAGAAAGGAGGAAAGAAAAGAAAAGAAATAAGATACTAGAAGCACCAGCTGCCCACCCTGCAGCGTGCCCCGTGAGGCCATAAGCACTCCCCTACACAATCACCTTCCTGACTTTCACGAAAGCAACTTTCTGGCATTTTTTAAAATGACTTTACCCTTTATGTGATGCATCACTAAACAAAACAGTGTGGTTTTGCCTGTTTTAAAATTTATAGATAGTAGAATCATTCTGTATGTAGTCAACAGGATTCAAAAGTGTTTTTGCATCTTTCATTGAACATAGTCATCCATGTTATTGCAAATACTTGTAATCTGCTAATTTTTATTTCTATATAATATCCCATTTTATAAATATACCACAGTTAATCCATTCTACTGTTGGCGAACATATGGGTTGTCTCTTATTTGTGGCTTAACAAATAGTGCAGCTATGAATATTCTTTTACACATAGCCTGGTGTACACACTTCTCTAAGACGGCAATACTGAAAAGTGGAGTTTGAAACCCTCTGGAGTGTTAACTTTTTTATAAGTAATAATTTAAATTTTTCTGATATGGTCTAACTTCTATTCCTAGACACTTACTACAAAAAGAGCATGATATACATATGCCACGTTAATTGGGATTATGAATGAATTTGTGTATTTTCAAATCATTACTAGAAACATGTGTGGCTGGCTGACTGGTTGGTTGGTGTTGGTTTGTTTGCTTCCCAGTTTTAGATGGAACATACACATGCGATGTTTAGTTTCTGCATCAGGTGACCACTTACCCTTTCTGCAATTTTTTTTCTTTGGTAGGCCCCCTTTAATTCCTTAGAATTATTTTTATTTCATCCCAAATTCCCATGCTCAGCTTTAGAATGGTCCCTGTCATGTCATTTTTCCTTTCCCTCACATGTTTTTCCACTCTAGTCTCCTTTATTCTTTGTCCTCGTGAAGTCACAAAATCCAGCAGATTTTCTGCCTCTTCCACATCTTCTTATGAACTTTATTCTGTTAACTCCGTGACACTAGCAGCCACTCCCTCGTGGGCCCTTCTGACATCCTTCAACCCTGTCTTCCCTTCCACTGGGCCCTGGGCCCCAAGTGAAGGACCTGGCCCGCCCTGTGCCATGTCTGTCCTTTGTCTTTCTCCTTCCGTAACACAAAATGAACTAGCCTGCGATATCAATCATAACGAGGAAACATATACTTTTTGATTTCTGAAAAATGCTTGGTTTTAAAAATCTGTCAAATGAAATTGTTACCATTTAGTTATGTTTTCTCCTTTAGACCTAATATTTGAGATTTATTCCAATAGAAAACATGCCCTAGTGGTCCCAACTGAAAACTTTTGGTAAGAACAGAACTAAAATAAATTCTGAGCCCAGAACCTAGTGGACTTCATAGCCATCTATCATGAAAAGCTTTTGGGTAATGCTATAGTGGCTCTTTAAGGAACGACAAAACATAAAAATACCTCTGCAGTTTAGAAAGAATCACTGCCTCTTCTGATGCTCATTGTAGCTAGTCTTACATCAGACTTGCCCAAAAGTTACAAATAGGTTCCGACCAACCAGCAAGAAAAATCATGGCACTAAAGGCAAAGCTGTAGACTTCGCTGCTCCGGCGACAACTTGTGTGGGAACTGCCGTATGGCAGTTACCCTGGAATTTGAAGCTTGAGGAAATATATGTTGAATTTTCCCATAAATTAATGTAAGAGGTGAATCACCGTACATTGTATTTGCTTTAAAATAAGTACACTTAGATTAGCAGATGTTTTATAGAAGTGGTCATGTTACATTGATGAAACTAGGCTTTTTAAAAAAAGACTGGCGATTCCTATGGAAGTTAAAGTTACAAAAGAACAATTAACTCATCAAGCCATTCCACCACTGCTCGCCCTGAAGATGTTGAACATTTGAGTTGATGATAGCTAATAACCTGTGATCTCATTTGCCGGAATTGTAACACAGGGAGCTACATAATGTGCTACATTGGGAACTGGAGTGCTAATCTATTTTTATTCCCCTTTCTTTTTCCTCCTTGCAAGCTAAGCTCTGCATTGGCCAGAGAGAAGTAACAGTTCAGAAAGGGCCGCTGTTCAGAGCTCAAGGTTACCCTGTCAGCATCAGCTGCAAGGTCACTGGCCACCAGGGACCCTCTGAGCAGCATTTCCAGTGGTCTATTTACCTGCCGTCAGCCCCGACCCAGGAGGTTCAGATCGTTAGTACCAAGGATGCCGATTTCTCCTACGCAGTGTATGGGCAGCGGGTGCGAAACGGAAAAATCTACGTGGAGAGGCTCCAGGGCAACTCAGTCCTGTTGCACATCTCAGAGCTCCAAATGAAGGATGCTGGCGAGTATGAGTGCCACACACCGAACACGGATGCGAAATACTATGGGAGTTACAGTGCAAAGACCAATCTAACTGGTAAGCAGTTGGTGCACGCCCGCTAGCCAGCCCCTGAAAAGGCAGAGTCTCTATGGTCACAATGCCTTGCAATGTGATGTGGTTTTATATTGTTCCGTTTGCTCTGGGAAAAGAGCCTATCTAGTTCTCTGGATATTTTGGAGATTTGTCACAAGTGGGTATCTCATATTCTCCAAAACCATCGATTCATTTTTCTCAATCATCTTTGCCATAAAGATTTACATGGTGTGGGGTTCTCCCGAGGCCTCATCCACTCGACAGCTATCCGTAGGTTGGTAACAGCAATAGCATTAGACAGACCTGCGAGAGGCAAAACAGTGACTTGGTAAGAGAGCTGGTATTAATGTCATAGGTGATAAATCATTAACTTAGAAATGATTATCCTCAAACTCTCATTCTCTAGCATATTTACCCATGAGAAGAGGGTCTTAGTCCTTGCAATTGTCACTTTGTCCTGTTGCCTGGAAATTCTATCGTCCCTATTTCAGCTTAGCAAACTCCTATGCATACTTCAGGACCCAATTTAGATATTACCTTCTCTGTAGAACCCATCCTGACTGCCTTGGGCAGTATTCCCACTTCTGTTTCCTCTTGATGCTCTACTCATATCATTATTTTAGCACTTACACGGTTGTGTGGTGATTGACTATTTATATGCCTTCTCCCTCACCACACCCTGAGCTCCTTGAGAAGAGAATGCTCATCTCAGCTCCTGGCAAACAGCTCCCAAGAGTAGATGCTCAGAAATATTGATATTAATATATTCATTGACAACTAAATCTAAGCGTTGCTTTCACATAAGCTTAGGCTGTGTGATTTCATTTGAGAAAGAAAAGAATGAAAAGGTAGATAGTAAGATAGTTACCAAAACTTTGGTAAAGGTTGCATTTTGACTCTAAATGATAAATTAGAACAGATTATTTCAGAACCTTATAAAGGAGCAGTTTATGGCCCAGGAAGGTGAAACGAGGTGCCCAAGTTCATGTAGTCAGATAGGGATGGATTGAGGATCAGAATCTAGGTCTTCTGCCTCCCACTGCTTTCTCCCTTTAAATCCATACCCTGCGTAGTTAACCTGGTTATAGCCTATGCTGATGAAGCAAAGCCAGGATCAATACATCAGTGAGCCATTTGCTTTGCCAAGTTCCATAAACTATACGTAGATGCCAATGTTCCCACTGGCAATAGGGAAAGCATATGGACAGGAAAGCAAATGGCTGGTGAAAAACCACCTCAAAGTCTGTGCTTTGCAGGTGGTGGTTCAGGGCACCATCTCCGCCTAAGGAGGTTCATTGGACAAACACTGGGCCCATCAGATTATTATCATTTCTTTGTTTCCAGTTATTCCAGATACCCTCTCTGCCACCATGAGTTCTCAGACTCTCAGGAAAGAGGAAGGTGAGCCATTAGAACTCACCTGTGAGGCATCCAAAGCCACAGCTCAACATACTCACCTCTCTGTCACCTGGTACCTGATGCAGGATGGAGGAAGAAGCCAAGCCACCAAGATTATTTCTCTCTCCAAAGACTTTATGCTGACCCCCGGGCCCTCTTATGCAGAGAGGTTTGCAGCCGGCCAGGTGCGGCTCAGCAAGCTTGGGGCCACGACCTTCAGGCTGTCCATAGAGAGCCTCCAGCCCTCGGATCAAGGCCAGCTGTTCTGTGAGGCAATGGAATGGATTCAGGATCCAGACGAAACCTGGACGTTCATCACAAAAAAGCAGACAGATCAAACCACTCTGAGGATTCAGCCAACAGGTAATTATCTCCTCGGGCAATTCGTTAATATAATACATTGGTAGTGGGTACTTGTGGGATGTTTTTAATTTTTTCTAACCCTTTGTTGGCTCTGAAACATTGGCTAGAAAGTTTGAGTAAATTTTCTTTTCGTCGTCTGGGAGGCATAGCGGAGATGTAGGACATTTGGTTTGGGCTCTGTTGGATGTGAGATAAGACCTGCTAAACAGTTAGATCCATCCCACAAGCCAGCCATGGAGATAGCAGTGTTACCAGTTTTGCCAGGCTGTGTTAGCACATTACCTACGTTACCTTAGTCCTAACGATCATCCTATGAGGAAGTAGTTGACTCCCATTTTGAAAATGAGGAACCTGAGCCTCAGACATGCTGGACACTCCACCTAAGCTCACCCAGTGGGTGAGAGGTGGGCTGGCATTCAAAGGCAGGCCTGTCTCTCTCCAAAGCCCACTCACCACAGACACCAGGCCTCAAAGTAGCTCCAGTTTCCAACTGGAAAGATGAAGCCTCATCTTTGTCAGCGCTGGGATTTCTTTCCACCGGACCCCTTTTCCCACTTGGAAGGAATGGTATTACTTTTCATGATCCATTGGCATTTTTGTCAAAGCAAGAAGAAAGACCTTGTCTGTGATTCCTGGTTTCTCCTGGTCTTTGGTCCAATAGAAATGGGTTGCAAAATCGTGTATTACAAACCCGTAGCTAAACTTCACTGGGATCATTGAAGTTTTCTTTCTTTTTTAAGATGAGTGTCATTCTGTAAAATTGTTCTGTTGTCTTCAGATATATAAGTGACACTCAGTGAGTTCTGTGGAGCTATATCCCATGTGCTTTGAACTTAGGAAAATTCCACTGGGTATTCTCAGGCAAAAAGGAGAATAAGAAATCACAATGTAAAGCACTTCAGTATAACATATTTGATTTTATATATACATAATATTTAATTCAGTATAAAATAGTTTATTTTTTAATTGAGAAAGCATTCACAACTCCATACTTCATACATTTGTGCATACATCTTGCTGACTAGGCTTGCATTCAGAAAACCATATATGCTGTCCTTGCCAGGTGATTTAAGAAATAGTCATGACCATTTTTTACTCTAGGATGTCTTTGGTTTACCTGCCATTGCAGAACTGATCTCCCTCATAAAATGAGATCCCTGTGGTATCGCAAGGGTGTCATTTCTCTCTGGTACTGAAAGGACACATGGGTGGGCTCTCTAAATGCCTGTCTTGCTTTTGTTTCCCAGTGAGAGATTTTCAAGTCAACATTACAACTGACAGCTCGTTTGCTGAAGGGACACCCTTAGAACTGGTCTGCCTGGTTGTGGGAAGTGGGCCCAACCCACAGCTTCAGGGCATTTGGTTCTTCAATGGGATTGAAATTGCCCGAGTGGATGCTGGTGGAGTCCTGGGCCTGAAGAATGACTACAAAGAGAGGGCAAGTCACGGGCAGCTCCAGGTCTCAAAGTCAGGCCCCAAGGCTTTCTCTCTCAAGATCTTCTCTGTGGGCCCAGAGGATGAAGGTGCCTACAGGTGTGCAGTGGCAGAGGTGGCGAGAACTCGGATGGGCTTCTGGCAGGAGCTTCAGAGAAAGCAGTCTCCAGACAGCCACGTGCACCTGAGGACGCCCGCAGGTATGTGAGGCTGGGACCAGGCACGCTCTGGGCTGCTTTCAGATCCCCTCCTTTGCTAGAAGAGAATGCTTTCATGGACACAGTGGCGGTCTTCCTGAAGAGTCAGTGTCAATCCGATCACATTGCAGGTGAAATGGAGTAAAGCAAAGCACCCAACCGGCTGCAGACCTTAGTCCTATTCCTGAGCCGTTAACTGGGCTGTGACCACAGACCCGTGACACACACCACTTCGTGTCTCTAAATTTCAGCTTCCTCATCTGTGAAATTATGTCATGCAACTAGATGGGCCTTAAGTACCTCCTTGCTGTCTTCGATTCTTTGATTCTATTTATTTTTTGTTAGCTCTAATTTTTATACTTAGGGTTTTTCTTAAAGCAGAGAACACCTGTATTAGACGGGGCTGGCATCTTTCAGTTGCCTTCTGCGAATGCCCTGCTGTGCTAACCTGACATGGGAAATAATACTTAGTCATCATTCCGACTCACAGAAAAGCATATATGCAACACGGAAGAAACAAAGAGATAGTGGGCAGCCTCCGTTCCCTGCATTTTGCTGTGACGTGGGGAGACGCCTGTGCAAATGGTTCTGAGCGTCTGCGTGCCCCAAACTGAGAAAGCTGCCCAGCTCACCGTTATTTTATGAAAGTTGAGTGACCTTAATGTTTGAATAATCAGTGCCTTTTACAGGGAGAAGACACAGCTAACATAAGGATTCTCTGAGCTAGATATTCAAAATCTACAAAAATTAATTGCCCAAAAGCAAAAAAAAATTTTTGAACGTTTTGAATTTTTGAAAAACTGAGCTAAAAATAAAGATATCCTTGCTGCACTTGATCATTGGAGGCATCTCCAAAGATAGATGCGTTTCCCTTTCATGTTCTTCTCCGTCACCCTATTTGCTAGGAATGAAGACGCACAAGCTTTGGCCTGAGTGGCAGCCAGGAAGTGTGTTTGTGTTGGTTTTCACACTAAACATTTGGTCTAACTTTCTAGGATTCGGGAAAAACAATGTAGGCGGGTTTACATATTTACACAGAGATCAATCTCTGCTTTGTGCATGTCAGCCTCCCTGGGGAGCATACATATACAGCCTTTCCTAAAGCCAGCGGTGCCAGACAGATCCCAAGATGTGTGTCGGGGTACATAGCTTATGGTCCTATAGATAGGGTCATCTTCCAAAACTCAAAATAGTTCTTTGCATAGGTTGGAGTCTAGACTGGGCTTAATAAGCAGAAATAGGAAAAGTTAGTGGCAAATTTATTAAGGACCCTGTTTAACATTCTGTTTTGAAAGTCAGTCAAACTATTGAAGTATGAGCAGAATTTTATCATTCTATGAATATTTTAAACAGAAGGGGGCACCCACTACCACTGTGAATGTGTAACTTACACATACTTAATAAATTTATGACTTTTTACCAAAAGGCAGTAATGACCACAATGAACTAAGGAAACCTCATTTAAAAAAAAAATGATGTTAGTTGAAACGAATCATAATGGTTATGTTAAAGTGGTGAGATTATGAGTAATACTTTCTTCTCTAATTTCTAAACTTCAGTCATGAGTCTATTTTTAACTTGAAAAAATTAAATTCGAAAGTGGATTTGCTAATTTTTTAAACCTATTTATGGACATTAACCTTCATTCTGCCTTTGTAACTTATGTGTGTATATATATATACATAAAACAGTCAAGACTGAAGTCCTTTCTCAGCAGGGAAGAGCAATTTGCAAATTCATTTAGATCCTATTTAGATTTCTAATATCGTTCTGTTTTGTTTTTCTCTTCTGCTTTGAATTGCCTCTGCTTTGGCCAGTGCCTCGCATTAAACACTACTGCTAATAGCTAACCTTTACTGAGTATTTTCCCTGGCCCTCCAAGCTAGGTCCTTACGTGTGTGCCCTTTGTTCAGTCCTCTCAACAATACAATAAAGTGAGTGCTATTATTAGCTTCATTTTTTCAGGAAAGAAAACTGAGGCTCAGAGAGGTCAAATATATTGCCCAGGGTAATTCTGACTCCAGTGGCCTTGGCCTTAAACAGAGTTCTGGGCTGCCTAAGAGGGAAAAGCTCCTGATGTAGCTCTACGTTGCCCATAAAGCAGCTAGGGCAAAACCTGTATTTGTTGAATGAATGTGTTTGTTGAATGAGTGACTTGAATTTCCCATCTAGGAGCCAAATTTACATTTATAGTTTTACACTGTAGTTTAGACATAAGGCTCTCCCTTTACCAACAGCATATATACACACACATATACGTATACATACATATATGTATATAGATATGATATATATGTATATAAACAAATATTTCCCCTCCAAGTAACTTTTTATTGTGAACAGAGATAAAATTAATGTTTCTTCCCTGTTGAAAACACATACTAGGCCCGGCTCGGTGGCTCACGCCTGTAATCCTAGCACCCTGGGAGGCCAAGGCAGGTGGATTGCTTGAGATCAGGAGTTCGAAACCAGCCTGAGCAAGAGTGAGACCCCGTCTCTACTATAAATAGAGAGAAATTAATTGGCCAACTAATATATATAGAAAATATTAACCAGGTGTGGTGGCGCATGCCTGTAGTTCCAGCTACTTGGGAGGCTGAGGCAGGAGGATTGCTTGAGCCCAGGAGTTTGAGGTTGCTGTGAGCTAGGCTGACGCCACAGCACTCACTCTAGCCTGGGGCAACAAAGCAAGACTCTGTCTCAAAAAAAAAAGAAAAGAAAACACATACTAAACCAATTAGGATTGATTAGGGGAAATAAGCAGGGAAAGGCAGTTTCGAACACTGAAGGTCTAAATTCCAAAAAACTAAAAATTTAAATAGACATAGCTTCCTTGCTTTTAGATTCATGCACCTACTCTAATTAACCTAACAAAACATTAATATTATGGGCTATTTGCCGAACTAGATATTCTTAAAGAAGGGCTGATTTAACAAACTGATTTTTTAAAAAGTGCAAATTATAAATTGTTTAAGTGTCAATAGGTTCTCTGGATATTTATCTGCTGTCTTGTTTCCACTATTAAGATATTTAGCAAATCTTTTGTCTGGAGGTGGTACAGGAAGAAACAGCCCGGTTTGATTTGTTACAAACTAGTCAAGTTCTAATTAGTGAGACTTCACTGTATTTTGGAGAATTGTTCATTTGCTTAAAACACTTTTTTTCTTCTATAATCTGAAATCCACAGCAAGAAGTGTGGTTATGTCTACTAAGAACAAGCAGCAAGCTGTGTGGGAAGGAGAGGCACTCACTCTTCTCTGCAAGGTGGGTGGACCTGAAAGTCCTCTGTCTGTGAACTGGTGGCACATCCCACAGGGCCGGACACAGCCAGAGTTTGTGGCTGGCATGGGGCAGGACGGCATCGTGCAGCTGGGCGCCTCCGATGGGAGACCCGGTTACCATGGCAACACAAGGCTGGAGAAAGTGGACTGGGCCACCTTCCAACTGGAGATCACCTCCACCACCCTCACAGACAGTGGCACGTACGAGTGCAGAGTGTCTGAGAGGACCCGGAACAAGGCCAGAGATCTGAGCTGGACTCAGAAGACTTCAGTTACTGTAAAATCTCTGGGTAAGTCTCAAAGAAACTCCTTTTCTGAACTTGCATGTCAGTCACTTCATTCTGCAGCGGAATTTGATCGTGTGTCATCGTCACCCCCCCCCAGTTATGGTATGTGTACCCCCATGACACAGAGCACGGTCTCTGGCCACCGTGTCTGTCAATTAATCTTTAAAGTTTTTTTCATCTTTATAAAGATCAGCTTTAGAGTGCAACTTGTAAGTTGTTGTTCAAGGTTAAAAACAAACTCCTATGAATGGGAGTCGACATATAGCAGAGCGTAGCCGAGCCTTATACATTCTGGCTTTCGACGGCTGCAGCCCTGGGATTGCAGAGCCTCTTCCAGCACACGCAGAAGGGTTCTGATGCTGAACCCAGGAGCGGGGCTAAAGGAAGGAGGCCAGACGACTGGGTCCGGGGAGCGTTCCACCCACTCAGCAGCAGCTGTCTAAGCAGCAGACTGGAGAAACACTGCCTATTTGTTGCCGGCTGCTGAGAACAGTCTTAGAAGAGGGTCAACTTTGCAAAATTGAGGTCAGAATTCAGGACAGACTGTGCTGTGAATCAGCTTCAATCCCCAAAATATATGACACTCCAAATGTTACAAATGCATGGTCCTAAGTGAAATTTAGGTGGTAACCAGAAAAACTTGAAAGTACTGTACTTTGATTTGGTAAAGATATGAGAAATTATATTTCATTGTTCTGTTCACAGAGCTCAGTTTACAAGTTAGTCTGATGAGCCGCCAACCGCAAGTGAAGTTAGGCAGCACCTTTGACCTGTTCTGCGTAGTAGGGGCCGACTACTCTGACCTCAAGCTGCCACTCACTGTGACATGGCAGTTCCAGCCAGCTGGGGCACAAGACTTTTATCAGCTTATTCGGATCACCCATGATGGCACTATTGAATGGGGGGATTTCCTATCCCAGTTCCAAAAGAAGACGAAGGTTTCACAGACTTCATTTCGTCCTCAACTCCTAATCCACGACGCCACTGAGGAAGAGATGGGAATGTATCGGTGTAAAGTGGAAGTTTATGACAGAAATTCCTGGCACACCAATGGCCCTGTGAGGGCTTCTGTCATCTCTCACCCATTGAAAATAGCCATCACTTTACCAGGTAAGCAACACTTGAAATCCATCCCTTATTTTTTTTTTTTTTTTTTTGAGACAGAGTCTCACTTTGCTGCCCTGGCTAGAGTGCCGTGGCATCAGCCTAGCTCACAGCAACCTCAAACTCCTGGGCTCAAGCGATCCTTCTGCCTCAGCCTCCCAAGTAGCTGGAACTACAGGCACGCACCACCATGCCCGACTAATTTTTTCTATATATTTTTAGTTGGCCAACTAATTTCTTTCTATTTTGGTAGAGAAGGGGGTCTCGCTCTTGCTCAGGCTGGTTTCGAACTCCTTACCTTGAGCAATCCACCTGCCTCGGCCTCCCAGAGTGCTAGGATTATAGGCGTGAGCCACCACACCCAGTTCATTCCTGATTTTTTAAACAAAACAAAACAGAATCACATTCTTCCCATTTGGGGTACATTATAGAAATTAAACATAAATACTTCCTTCCTATGTTTGCACTGGATAAGTAAGGGCCACTCGATGAGTGATTTCCAGGCTAACATTAGTTTGTCTGCGTGGATGGCCGTACTTGTAGTGAAAACACTGAAATACTTCCACACTGGCTAATAACTCCTGCTCCACACCCTGCCCCATTTTCCCGTGGGTTCCCACCACCCAGCAACTCAAGGATACCACGTGGCACAACAGGGGGCCTCTAGGACTGGTCCCAGTGGAGAGGCAATCTTTTGGATTGCTCACTGCCCAGCCTTACCAGTTATTAAACATTTGCTAGGTCTCTCCTCGGGGTAGGAATAATATAAATTCCATTAGAATACATTTATCTACTTATTTTTAATGTGTTACTGTATGAGTCAGAGAACTTATGATTATAGTCAAATACAATCCACCTCATCAATCGGTAACGAAGCACAGAGGTTAAAAGTGAGGCACCACATAGGCAAAGTTCTGCTGTCATGTATCTCTTGTAACTTGTATTCGCTTACGACAGAGTGATGAGAGACTTGGAAGTCACTTAGATCTGACGATCACTAGATAGCAGCATGACTTTGGATAAGTCACTTAATCTGTGCAAGCCTTAGTTACCTCATCTGTAAATTGCTTATGTGCAGTTTAAATGTGATGACATATGTGATATGCCCATTACCTGACCTTGGTGTGTCAGGTGTGTCATCTGCCTGACACACCAAGCAGATGCTCAAACATGGTAGTGGTCGTCATTCTCCCTGCTGCTGAGCAATATCTTTGGTAATAGTAATGATCTCCTTGTTTATTAATTCAGGCCTGAATTTACTTGTTCTCTCTGCAGTATTTGCACTGGTTTCCCCAATTCTTTCTTCTTGAAACTTCTTTTTTTCTTGGCCCTGTGACACAAGATTATCCTGGTTTCTTTCCTGAAACTGACGTCTCCTTTTTGTTCTTTTTTGCAGAATTCTCCTCCATTGGTTCTTTCTTTAAAGAAAACTGTTCCTTTCTATTTCATCCTCAGCTTGCTCTCTTCTTATTCTACACACTCTCCTGAAGTGGACTCATCTCTGCCCATGGATACAACCTATTTGGTGACAAATCCCAAATCCTGTTATCCTGAAAGATTTCTCTTCTGTCTCCAGACTCACATGTCTGCACTCACTATGTCAGAACATAAACCCACCATTATTATCCAAAGCTCCTCCTTCCACATTGTTCCCTATGTTCCTCTCCTCATCAACCAGTGACCCAAGTTAGAAACCTGAGCCATCCCCAACTCCTCTACGTTCCCCTTATAGTCCAAGCTCCCGTAATGTGACTTGCAAGGTCCTTTATAGTCTGGTACCTTTGAGGCTTTCCAGCATCATTTTCTTCCACTTTCCATCTTGAATTTGAGCTCCAGCCACACTGAATAACTTGTAGTTCCTCAATACACCAAGTTCTCTCTCACTCTCAAAGTCTTTGGTCAAGTTGTTTCTTTTGTACAGAATTCCTTAATCCCTTCTTCATCAGAGTAATTCCTGTAAACCCTTAAGGCTTAGCCTGGAGTTACCTCCCCCGGGAGGTTGTCCCTCATATTTGGGTTAGGCGATCCTCCTGGGTGCACTGCTAGCCACTTAGGCATACCTCCGGCAGACATGGGTGACATACTGCTGTGACCTCTAAGCCTTTGTCCCTGTGCTTGTCTCTCCCTCCGGACTGGGAGGCACTAAGGGGAGGCATCCACAGAGCCTGGAATAGTCTGGCACATAATATAGTATGTTTGTTGAAGGAAGAATAAAGGGAGCTCCTGGCAGCATCAGTACGCAATCACAGAAGTAGAATCCGTGATGTCAGCAAGAAGTGAGAATAAGATTTGGGAGCAAGGATTGTCACTCAACTTTCTGAAAAACCAGAAAAGCAGCTGGAGTCACAGGTTACTCCATATCCATACAACACTCCCACAGCTGAGCAGCCGCAAAGACACATACAGTTTTGATCTTTTTTCTGCCTTACTGGACCTTTGCATCTTATTTTTTTTGTTTTAGTTTTTAATTCTTAATTATTATGGGCACATAATAGTTGTATATATTCATAGGGTACATCTGGTATTTTGATACAGGCATACAATGTGAATTAATCCAATCAGGGTATATATCACCTTTGGCATTTATCATTTATTTGTGTTAGGAGCATTCCAATTCCATTCTTTATGTTATTTTAAAGTATACCTTAACTTATTATTGCTTATAGTCACTTTGTTGTGCTATCATATATTGTTTATTCTATCTAACTGTATTTTTGTACACATTAACCATCATCACTTTATCCCTCTCTCCCCACCACCTTTCCTAGTCTCTAGTAACCACCTACTCTCCATCTCCATGAGATCAATTGTGTTTTTTTTTGTTGTTTTGTTTTGTTTTTTTTTTAGCCACAATCTCTCAAGGTTGAAATTGTTTTTATTATTCAGCTCCCACGTATGAATAAGAACATGGGAGACTTGTCTTTCTGTGCTTGGCTTATTTCACTTAACATAATGTTCTCCAGTTCCATCCCTGTTGTTGCAAATGGAAGGAATGGAAGGATTTCACTTTTTTTGTGGCTATATATTAATAATATTCCATTGTGTGTATGTACCACAAATTTCTTTATCTATTCATCCACTGGTAAATGCTTTTAGGTTGATTCCAAATCTTGGCTATTGTGAATAGTGCTGCAATAAACACAGGAGTGCAGATATCTGTTTGACATGCTGAATTCCCTTCTTTAGGATATTTACACAGCAGTGGGATTGTTTGGTCATAAGGTACCTCTATTTGTAGCTTTTTGAGGAACCTCCATACTGTTCTCCATAGTGGTCACACTAATTTACATTCCCGACAACAGTGTACAAGGGTTCCCCTTTCTCTACACCCTTGCCAGCATTCATTATTGCCTGTCTTTTTTATAAAAGCCATTTTAACTGGGGTGAAATGATATCTCATTGTAGTTTTGATTTGCATTTCTTTGATGACTAGTGATGTTGAGCATTTACCTGTTGGTCATTTGTATAGCTTTCTTTGAGAAACGTCTATTCAGATTCTTTGCCCATTTTTTAACTGGTTTATTTGATTTTATCATATTGAGTTATTGGAGCTCCTTATATGGTCTAGTTATTAATCCCTTGTCAGATGGTAGTTTGCAAATATTTTCTCCAATTCTGTGGGTTGTCTGTTCACTCTGTTTATTATTTCCTTTGCTGAGACACATAGATTTAATAGCCCATGTACAACTTTTATTTACCCATTTTTGAAGGCACATACAACTAGAGTTTGGCAAATTGTTAATCCAGAAGTACTCTGAATGCTGAGCACACAGACAAAGCATTTTTTTTTTTTTTTTTTTTTGAGACAGAGTCTCACTTTGCTGCCCTGGCTAGAGTGCCATGGCATCAGCCTAGCTCACAGCAACCTCAAACTCCTGGGCTCAAGCAATCCTGCTGCCTCAGCCTCCTGAGTAGCTGGGACTACAGGCATGCGCCACCATGCCCAGCTAATTTTTTCTACATATATTAGTTGGCCAATTAATTTCTTTTTATTTATAGTAGAGACAGGGTCTCACTCTTGCTCAGGCTGGTTTTGAACTCCTGACCTTGAGCAATCCGCCCGCCTCGGCCTCCCAGAGAGCTAGGATTACAGGTGTGAACCACCGCGCCTAGCCCAGACAAAGCATTAATAGGGCCACTTTCTCCACAATTTGATACATGAAATGCTACAGAAGAAATGTCTGTGTTTAAATACTGAAGCATTATCATGTAGAAAAGAGACTGGGCTTTTTCTGTCTGATACTTCCTCTACCACCCCACTCCCTGCCCAGTAAGGGTAGAACTAGGACCAGAGGATGGAAGTTATAAAGAGATAACATTCAGCTTGATATCATTAAGAATTTTCTTGTAGTGGAATTGTCCAAAAATTGAATGGGCTGCTTTGTCAGATAGTGAGCTGTTCAAAAACTGAATGAACAGTTTGTAGGACTACTGCAGAGGGAATTCACACAGACAATGGCTGGAGGACACACTGCCCTAGTTGACCTCTATCATCTCTACTACCTTAAAATTATATTTTCTACCAAGGTAACTGTTTCTGTTTTTTAATTTAGAGAGCAAGCTAGAAGTGAACTCAAGCAGTCAAGTCCAAGAGATATCCATCAACTCCAACACTGCTATAGAATGTAGCATCTTGTCCCGGTCCACTGGAAACTTTCCGTTAGCCATTACTTGGTACTTTTCTCCCATTTCCACTAGTGCATCCTGGTTGAGGATCCTGGAAATGGACCAAACCAATGTTGTGAAATATGGGGATGAATTTGACACTCCACAGAGAAAACCAAAATTTCACACCAAGAAAGTTTCCCAAGACTTGTTTCAGCTACACATTCTGAATGTGGAAGACAGTGATCAGGGCAAATATCACTGTGCTGTGGAGGAGTGGCTCTTGTCTACAAATGGCATGTGGCTCAAGCTCGGAGGAAGGAAGTCAGGACTGACAGAATTGAAACTCAAGCCCACAGGTAAACCTCGTCAGTGCCTTCTCGCACATCTTTCTGTAGGATTGCCGTTTTCTCCTGGGTAGTTGTTCTGTGAGGTGATCCTGTGGGAGTAAAAATATGACCTAGTCATAGGAATAGAGACCACCTAAAAGTGACTGCAGGACCTGGTAGCCCTCCAAAGGAGGGAGGTCACTTAAGGTGAATCAATCTGAGGTTTTGAGGAGCTCAGATAGGCACAAGATCCCTTTGATTGGTTTGCTTATCAGCCTGCAGCCTGGTCTAGGCAGCTACCCAGGGTATCGTCTCTCCAGATCTCTGTAATAACAAGCTGTGTCATTCCAGTGGGGCTCTACTGTAATTTGGCAGAGAAAGAGTAATACGAAGCATATTTCTCCCACTGTGAACAGAAACTGTACAACTCTTTGGGGATGTGTGGAGAAATTGCTTTTCAACATTTAGCTGCCTAAACATAAGGCAAATAAGAGTAGTTAACTGCTGGAATGGCTTACTGAGGGAATCTCCTCTTCCTCAGGAGATCTTTAAAAATGTAATGGAACTTCCATCCATTTGCGCTAGTCTAGGATGCTGCTGTCTAAATGTGGGCAGGGTTGGTTAGGTCTCTCAGCATCAGTTAGGTCACCTCCAGTATTGATTAAAATCAACTGAATGTCACGCCTAAGGTTCGGGAACCGGCCAACAGCACAACACAGATAAGTTGAACTAATCTGGTGCTTCAGATACTATGTTTAAGGTAACATCAAAAAATAAGAATATAATTGAACATTACTATGTATTAGGCAATGAGATGCAGAGATAAAGAAGGCGTCCCTCTTGCCCTAAGGGAGCACACCATCTGCTGGGGCAGCAGGGACAAAACAGCAGCTTAGTATGGGGCCTCTTCCTGCCCACCTCTAGGGTCCCCTGCCTGTGTTCTTCAGGCCCCGTTTCTTTCCCTAATAAGTGTTATGTGTTCCTCAGGAGTAGAGCCTGGGCCCATTTTTTTTTTTTTTTTCTTATTCTGTGCTTTTCTCAGAACTTCTTAAACACTGCCCTGGCTTCAACTACCACCTTCACGATGATATCTCTAAGTCTTTATGCCTAGCCCCAATCTCCTGAGCTCCAAGCCTTTAAACCCAGCTGCCTGCTATACATTTCCACTTGGATGCCCCCAGAGACCCTCATGCTCAACATGCCCCGCATGGCATGTATCATCTCTGCCCACAAGACTGGCTCATACTTCTGCATTCCCCATTGTGTGACTGGCATCCCTGGCTCCCAGCCGTCCCAGCCAAAATCGTGACAGTATGTGCGTGCCCTCTTTAAGGAGGCAGACACTGCTTAGCTCAAGCCAGGGCTTCCCGTGCAGAAATGTGGGCTCAGCGTTGTAAGATTGTTTAGTATATTAAGAGATGCCTAGAATCTTTTTTGGTGAACATCTTCCAATTTGAGAACATTTGCAACTAATTCAAATTCCTTTAAAATACTGAAGGAGTCGAACAAAACATAACCGTGGGCTAGGCATGACCGTGGGTTTCCAGTATATACCTTCATTTAGAGAATGAGTTAAGACAGAGGCCCCAGAAAAACATACTGAGTAGGGCTGGTCAGAATTGTAGGAGGGATATTTTATTTGAGGTCAAAACAGGAGAGAATTTTAAGAAGAAAATGGACTTCAGTAACAAAAACTATAAAGAGGACAAAAAAAAGGCTAGAGGGTCCCTTGAGCTGGGAAATTGGACCCTGACCACGAATAGTGATACCATTGGAAGCCAGATTGCAATAAAGCAGGAAGTAATTTGAGGTGAGGAAACAGTAACAGTGTCATATAAGCTAATATTTCACATGCTTCTCCATGAAGGAAAGGAAAGATTAAAGATGGTAACTAAAAAAGAGACCAAGATCAGATAAAATTATTTTTTAAAGATAGATTAATAAATGTATTTGTAGTGGGGTTGAAATTTTAATGCACTCTATAGTTTATTTATTTTGTTTGTAACTACTCTGGCTGTCATTTCAAGTCCTCACCTACTGGTTAGCAGGGGGAAAAGAAAGTAAATGTCGAAATCTGTTTAAAACTTAGCCTAATCCAATAATTTGAATAGTTCCCTTGGGTGATATTTTAATACTTGCATCTAAATGTTCAGTCTCTCAGACATCCTGCTCTCTCTCCGCATCTATATGGAAGATACCCAAGATAATATCTGGGTGTATGGGAGGAGAGCAATTAGCTAAGAGTGAAGGGTAGTGGTGGAATACGTGATTTGAGGGGGTTGCTGGAAGTTCTGAACAGCCCCTCTGGGAAGTAGATGAGGAGTTAGCTGAGAAGTATAAGCATCGAGGAGAGGGCCCCACTGAAGCTGAGTGGTTTGCAGTGGCAGGAGCCAGCAGGCAAGAGATAGGGGTTAAAGAAGGCAAGTGGGTAGTTTGATTCATAGCAGAGAATGTTCTGGCAAATGTGAAAGAAAAAAGGCATTACAAAAACAGGGCAAGTATTAAAGGTGAATGATCCGATTTCTAAAAAATATAAGACGGAGATCTCCCCAGTATAACTGGATTTTTTCAGAGAAAGTGTCCAATCTGGAAGTCTCTATTCTTCCCTAACTTACTGCCATTTTATTTTCTAGGAAGTCAGGTCCATGTCTCCAAAGTGTACCAGACAGAAAATGTCACTGAGCACAGAGAGGTGGCCATCCGCTGCAGCCTGGAGAGTCTGGGCGGCTCGGCCTCCCTGTACTCTGTGATGTGGTACAGAGAAAACTCTGGAAATAAATTGCTGGTGCACCTGCAGCACGATGGCTTGCTGGAGTATGGTGAAGAGGGGCTCAGGGGACATCTGCACTGTTACCGCACGTCCCCTACAGAATTTGTCCTGCAGCTTCGTCACGTGGCGATGGAGGATGCTGGACTGTATTGGTGCAGGGTGACAGAGTGGCAGCTCCATGGACACCCAAGCAAGTGGGTCAACCACGCATCAGATGAGTCCCAGCGAATGGTGCTCACCGTGCTGCCTTCAGGTACTTAGGGGTTAATCTACCACAGGCTGGGAGCCAGGAGAATGTGGGGCTCTCCTCTTATGCCTTCCCTCGCAGCTATGTGTTACTCCCTCTTCAAGCTGAAGACATTTTTCAGGTTCCCTAAAGAAGATGAGTTTGCTGTCTCCCCCAGTAGTAATTCATTTGAACAAACAAGGTCCACGTGAAGTTTTGTCATAAACATTTAAATATCAGGGGCATCTGTTTCCCTCTTCCCTTCCTCCCTGCCCAAAAAAGCCATCAACACTATGTCCCCTTTAAATATCCAAATAATGTGTGAAGCAGACATCAGTACCTTTTGGCTGACCCTCTAATCTTAGAATTCTCATCTGCAGCGGGAGTGGGAATGAGAGATAGGGAGATGATAACTTTACATTTTGATCTGATTGAACCAAAATTAGCTACATCTAAATGCCCCTTTGATCAAAAGGAAAAACAAAAAGCCTTTCTCAATGAATAAATGCCAACCTCACTGTCTCTCTATGTACGTAACAAACTACCAGCACTTTGATAACGATGGTCATTTCGTGTGCCTCTTCTAATTGTACCTTGAAAGGCATCAAGGTAGAAAGGGTGCCCCACAGAACTTGTAGACTCCAGCAAGGAGGGCAACTACTTAAAGACCATTGGCCAAAGGGTGACCTTCCTCTATTAGAGGTCATTCTACTCAGCTGAGTATTCATTAAATCCTTGTTAGTGGAAGCAAAAGGTTATCCAGTTAGACTAGTTAGTCTTCCCTATTGATCCATAAGCTGGCAGCTGTCATAGCCAGCTCATTCTGTCAGCCACTTCTTCCTGGTGGGTTTCAAAAGGAAGGTGAGAGGTGAGCAATAAGCTAAACTTACTGTGGGAAAGGGATATTGGAGAAGTAGAGGTGTGGCATTGGAAGGGTAAATGAAAATGATCAATAAAGATAACATTCCTAAGGCACTGGCTAGCTTTGGCGACACTCCTTAGGAGGGAAAGAGTGCTGTCAAGAACATATGGGAACTTCTAAGAGGTAGCGGTAGCTGCATCCCAGCCCTACCATGTTTCCCTGAAAATAAGACAGGGTCTTATATTTATTTTTCCTCAAGAAGACACCCTAGAGCTTATTTTCAGGGGATGTGTTATTTTCCCCTCAAAGCTTCAGCTTGCAGCACGCACAGGATGGCCGGGACCTGCCAGGGGGAGCCAACCTTGTGGGTGGGGGTGCCCACACCTTTCCGGTCACCTCTGGGACAGTAGCTGTCACGATGGGGCAGATGAGAAGGGCTGCTCATCTTCTCTACCGCTCCTCGACCAAATGCATGGGTTGTGCAGATATGCTGTGTAGCCACGCCCATCACTAGGTCTTATTTGCAGGGTAGGGTTTATATTGTGCAAATGCTTCAAAATCCTGCTAGGGCTTATTTTATGGGTAGGTCTTATTTTCTGGGAAACACGGTAGCAAGATTTCTGCAATGGAAGTCAAAATGGTCTGATTTGTTCCTCGAGGGGGGTCCATCATCTCACCCTGTCCATTTCTCAGCAGAATTCTTTTTCCTGAGTGTCCAGGAAGAATTTTTTTCTATCGGCCTTTCTTCCATTCTAACAATTATAGGAAGTCCCATGCCCGTGAGCACATCTTGTCCATGTTTTCCCACCGGAATTCATAGGCTCTGTATATTCAGCAGGTTTTGCAGTAGAACGAATAGATAAGAACAGTAAAAAGTATATATTCTGTGACTAAAAAGCACATCTCCTCTGAGGCACATGAGATCCTTTATAGCATATGTATTGTTAATCTTTGTGGAATTCTAATAAAACAGGTATAAGGTTTTTAGAAGATGAACTTAGAAAGAAAACATTAAACACTGAGTGCCTTTGTGTTCTCAGAAAGCCTGTGCCATGACAAGCTGAGGGGTTCCCGTGTGACTAAAGTCACGCCTGGAAAGCAGCATCTGGGTTCCCCCACCTGGCTGGTCTTTTCTGGGAACCAGGAAGGCAGTGTGCAGTAATGAAAAACCCCAGGGGTTGCACTCAGACAAGCCTAGGCTCGAGTCACACTCTACCACCTACTAGCTATGAAGTCATGCCCTGGTTACTCGCCTTCCGTGAGCCTCTGCTTTCTCGTAAAAGGAATATCATAATACGAATGTGTATAAAGTATCTAGTGCAGTCCCTGGCACACTATAAGTGCTCAACAAATGTTAACTCCTTTCCCTCTTATGCTTCCAACCATGCTACACACATACACACACAGGCTTGTACGCATATGCGTACATATACACACATATATATCTGTGTGTACAAGATATTTTAATTTGTTCAGTAAATAGCTATATGAGGTTCTGAGGATACAAAAATGTGTATGTTCCTACAGAGCTTAGAGGCCAGTGAGGGAAGTCAAGCCCAACATGACACGTGTCATCAAAGAAGTATTTGCAGGATGGTATAGGAACAACAGAGTCTGGGCTGGGGTGAAGGGCTGGGTCAGGAGGAGATCTGGGAAGGTTCTCCAGGGCATGGGGCCCATGAAAGGGAGGAAACATATTTTAGGAACAGGAAAGGGTATGCAAGATGATCATAAGATGTGAAACTCCGTGTTATATTCAGGGAACTTCTAGAGGTTGAGAACGGTAGAAACTGTGTTCCATATAGTACAATGGTAAGAGATGAAACCGGTGAGGTGGGAAAGGTACAGATAGATCTCAAATGTGTCTAAAGTATGATGCTACAGAGGATGAACTTTATTATGATGGTTATGGGATGTCACTGAAAAAGTTCATGCAGGAGAGTGGCATCGTCACATTTGCATTTTAGAAGTTCCCACTGGGAGCAGCAGTACAGATGAATTGGAGGAGAGGCAGACAGAGCAGGGAGAACTGTTTGAAATTGCAAGAACCCAGGTGAAGCAAGACAAAGGCCTGAGTTGAAGCAGTGCCAGAGAGGACTGAGAAAAGCACAGGCATTCAGTATTGTGAGGGGTAAGCTTCAGGACTTAGAGACTATTAGATATATGTAGAGGGAAATGAGCAGAAAAGAAGAGTTAAGGTTTAATATTTACATTCAGACTTAGATGGATAGTGGGGCTATTTTCCAACCAAGATAAAACATGAGAGGGGTCTGGAGGGGAAGATTAGTTCAGTTTTGAATAAGCTGGGCTGGAAGTGAGCTCAGGGTACCTGTGAGTTATAGAGGAAGATCTGGCCAGTAGACGTCAGGACTTCCAAACGGGATCTGCACCAGAGCTGTAGATTACAAGTTATCAATTTACAGCCAATAATGATGTGCAAAGATGGACCCCTGAGATACATGGTTATTTATGGGCGGCAGAGGACCGGGGCCTGTGAAGGAGACCGATGGCAGTGCCTGAGAGGTGGGAGGAGGACTGGGTTTGGGGGCGCCACAGAGACCAAAGGCAGAGAGGACATCAGGAGGCAGGAAGATTAGACAGACTCCTGAAAAGAGTTCGATTCAGATAGGAATGGGAAAGTATCCACTGGATTTGACAATATGGGACAATGGCAGAGAAGTGATGTGAGACGTCAGACCGCATAGCTGTTTAACACACGTCTCCACTGCTAGACTACACACTCTGAGAAGGCCAAGACTATGAGTGTCTTGTCTGTAGCGCCGGCACAGTGCCGGCACAGAGGAGATGCTCAAATGTCTCCTGGTGGGTGCCAGTTCTATGTGTTGACACAGTCCAGGTCAAACGTGATGTGCTACCAATTATCACTTCTCAATTGGTCTCTCACCCTCTGCATCCCAGGCTGGGTTAGTTCCAGGACTACGTAATAGAACTGTGCAGCATGTATCCCAAGTGAGGTCAGAAAAGTTAAGAGACATTTCCTGGGGGAAAGGACCTGGACTTTTCTTCTCTGTCTTACTTCCTTACCATTAACGAAGCCAGGGCAGGGACTACAGCTGCCCAGTCTTTTCACGCGCCCTCAGACCCTAGACATAAATGTCTTATTCTAGAGAATTCTCTGGGATTAATTGATAGGCCACACTATAAGGCTTTCTGGGGACGGGATGATTACTGGTAATGTGGTGCTTGTTACTGTTTCCCAGCTCTTGTTTCGGCAAGGGTCTAGTTAGTAAGTGGATCCCAGAAGGAGATTGTGTCTCCACCACAGTGAAGTTTCTGGAGAGGCCGTGCCGTGTACCTGTGCTTCCCAGTGCCCCCCCCCCCCAAGGCCTGGCACATGGCACTCCACAAATATGTGATAAAGGAATGAGAAAGTGAGTCTTGAGTTGGGTTAAAACAGATGATGCCAAGGATTCACTTATTCTGGGATGCACTTGTTATCAGCTTCCTTACTCCACTTTTCTTTCTTGGCAGGAGCCGGCTCTCCCACACGGCCACACATGGCATAGGCAGTTGCCCAAGCTTTGGACTGGAGGGTGGGAGGAGTTGGTAGCTCCCCGTTAGCCTCTACCCTTTCTTCTGAAGTCAGTATTTCTGAGTTGATACCAGAAAGGAGTGTCCTCTTGCTGTGTTTGGCCGTGGCCGGAAGCAAGTTCTAAACTCAACCTCATGATGAAGTGTTCTCATTACATTTTTGGCTCCGCGTTGCAGGCCTTGTACTTTGAGCATTGGACGCTGACTCGGATTGATTAAAAATGCCAAACCTTAATGGTTTTGAATGTCACTAATTCTAATCCAGATATGGGGGAGAGGCAGATGGTGGGAAATGGTGACTGTGGGATCCAGAGCAAACACTGCTCTCCCAGGAGAGGTAATTTAGAAGCACCGGAACTGACAGCTGCTAGCTGTGTCGTGCTTTGATGGCAGATTGCTCTTAAGAGGAACGGCCTTCTCCCCAGTAAGATAGTCAAGCCCTTTGGCTGTCCCTTCATGCTGAAGATTAGAGTCTCAGTGGCAGAAACTCTGAGCACCAGGTTTCTTTCCACCTCCTGTGTGCCAGCCCCATCTTGCACCCCACCATCCTAGCAACTGCCACGCTTGGTGCCGTGGACTCTCACTTCACAATTGTCTACTTCCCGTGACCAGAAAAAGGAGCCAGAGCCTCCTAAGTAATCATTTGACTATCTGCTGAATGCCACCTGGATCTGGGAACAGAGGGGTCAGAGATCCAAGGGAATATCTGGCTTCTAGAGGAAATGGCCAAGCCTGTGGTCCCTATATGAGAAATCAGCAGGCTCTGGCCCTGTTCTCTGTCTGGTCTGTTTGGAGAAGGTTGCCTGTGATTTTTCTAGCTTTCTCAGTAGTATTCTAGCTAATATTTATTGCTTTCTGACTTAACAAATGCTCTACGTACTTTGTTAAATATTATACAGTATGCATTATCACAACTCTAGAAATTATTGTCCTAATTTGGTTGATAAGGAAACTAATGATTAGAGACAATAAATAACTTATCCAATGTCAATAATAGTAGAAGTGGGAGGATTTGAGACCAGCTCTCTTTGAAATGTAGTAGGTGCTCATTCACTACTCTGCACAGATACCCACAGCCAGAGCTCCTAACACCTGGGCTCTGTGGCTCCATCCTCTCTCAGCATTGCAATCTCTGCCTCTTTCTAACCACATGCCTTCGAACGCACTCAGATAAGACCCGGGAGAATAAGTGCAGTCAAGCAGGGTCATTTGGGAGAGAGATTCACAGGTAGGATGTGGAGAGGGCATGGTATAGAATTCAAAACCTAGCTTTATCTTTGCTCACTCTTTCAAAACCAAACACCAAATTTAGGATGGAGAATACAAACTGGACCAGCGAAAACCAGGCCACAAACCCCTGCAGCTCTTTGCCAGCCTGTTCAGAGCTGCCAGCCTAACATTCAGTAATGATCTTCACTTTGTGTAACATGATGGCAACCATCCCTGGGTTCCCGTGTGCACAATATACTCATGCCATTGATCCATTCATGAGACTCCATCAAGACCCTGTGGACAAAGATTGCAGAAGATAAAGAGACACATAAGAGACAGGCCCTGGCTTCAAGGAGCTCACAGTGCAGGAGTTGAGCAGATGTCTAGGTTCTTTGCTGACTTCCATCAATGGGACGTTCTTTAACATGTAAGATGCATCAGCAATGCCAGAAATGGAATTCTTATAGCAGGAGGTTGGTCAAAATGACCTCTAAACCTGTTTTCATCTCTAAGAGTCTATAATCCCATGAATCCTATAGCTTAACCTTTGAAAAAAAAATTGCTTATGTCAGTACAATTTTCCAATAAAAGCACAGCTACTGTTAGCACCAAATTTTTAGAATAGCCCTGATTTCAGATACCATGTCATAAATAAATGTAGCTGGAAAACTACATTTAGTAATTTGTGTCTCTTTGAGCATGTGTCTTTCTGCTTCAAGAGACTGATTCCTGGAACCTGTGGTGTTTGCAGTTCTCTCCGCCGTTGCTTCCCTGGCTGTGTGGCCAGGAACCACTTTGGGGCTGCTCGTGCGTGCTCCGAGTGTGTGTGCGAGCGACAGTGCTTCCCGGGCTGCAGCTGCCGGGCGGTCACATGCTCCAGCGTGCCTTTATATAGTATCTTCCGCCCCTGTTGTTGTAGCCCATCCAATTTAATTCAGATCAGCAAGGGTTAGTGGGCACCTGCGCCGGGCACTGAAGGAGACATAGGAACAAATGGCACTATCAAGACATACTCAAGTAACCACAATGAAAGGAAGGAGATAGTTAAAAGGGAATGAAAGGGGCCTAAACAAAGGGCTGGGGGAGAAGGGGGATGGGAGAGAACTGTGCCTGAGGCAAGGTAGGCAGCGCTGGGAGAGCAAGATAGTGATGGAGCTAGACCAGAAGGACCCAGAGGATCAGTGCAGCGAGCCTGTCAGGTGGTGGTGACAGTCAGGGCCCTCACGGGGATGGGGAGACCCACTTGGAGGGCAGGCTTGGGTCAGGGTGGGCAAGTGTCCCTCACTCTAGGTACAGTTGTTCTATAAGAACAGAGCAGTGCATGTGTGTGTGTCTGTGTGTGTCTGTCTGTGTGTGTGTATGTGTGTGCCTGTGTGTGTATGTGTGTGTGAGTGTGTGTGTGTGTGTGAGTGTGTCTGTGTGTGTGTATGTGTGTGTCAGAAGCAGCATAACTCGGTTAAAAATTCAGGACTGACAACACAGTTGAGAACGAGGGTTGAATTATAGATATCTTTTCTGAGGAAAGAAGATTAAAGGAGAGGCTTTCTTTTTTGTTTTGTTTTTCATTTGGGCTGTTAGTTTTAAGTAGGTCATTGGAACCTCCAGTGGCTGGAAATTGCCGGGCAAGGGGGAGTTGCGTTAGAAGAGCCTGTTCCGGGAGCTCTTTTCCCCCCGATGCTCTGGCCTGTGTCCTCACGTGTGATTTCAGGGGCCTCCTGCTATTTGGTCCCATTACTTTAACATACATTTGCCTATAACAATAAATCCCAGATGCGTTTGTAATTGATTAGTACAAATAAGGTGGAGACTAACGGTTCTCTTTCTTTCTCTCCCTTTTGTTGCAGAGCCCTCTTTTCCTTCCAGGATCTGCTCCTCCGTACCTCTGCTCTATTTCCTCTTCATCTACCCCTTTGTCCTGCTCTTTCTTCTGCTCCTTTCCCTTCTCTGCTTGTACCGGAAAGCCAGGGAGCTGTCGGCCCTGCGTTTCAGCGCACGGAAAGAAAATTCCTTCTGGATGGACTTGAAAGAGGCTGGCGGCGGGACCATACATGGAAGGAAGAAGAGGAGGACGAGGAAGACTGAACCCTGAGAGGCACCTGCAGCCAGAGGAGAGCATGGGGGACTTTTGAATGAGCTGCCCAGGTGGGAAGGAACCTGGTTCTGTCCTTCACTGTGTCTGTGGTTTGGGGCAAGTTACCTAGGAATCGGAGGGCGCCTTTATGGAGCTGTGTGGTGCGCCTGTGCTGCACATTAAGTGTCTCTCTGTGGATTACCTCACCCACCCCGCGCAGCCCCCTGAGCCAGACAGCACAGCTACTCCATTGACATTGACCACACCTGGAGAGAAGCACCTCCCAGCAACACCCTGGGGGGGCTTTCTCTCCTCTATCCTGGTCACCCTGGCTCTAGACAATCTTTTTCCTCTAGATAAGTGGTGTAGGAAAGACCTGATGCCAGCAAGGCAAAAGGAATTGGGAACATGCTCTTTGTTTACCTAAAATCCACCTCCCCAGTGAGAATGTAGCTTCCTTCAACGCAGAAATGCAATTCTCCTCCCCCAGGCCATCCGCAAATACCCACTCAAGAGCCAGCTCTGCATAATAGGTGCTTAGGTAATATAGGTTCTTTGACAAAATGATAAAACATTTTGTAGCCTGAGTTCTGGGGGACTTTGCTTGTTTGGTAAGACTTATTAAGAAATTGCTGAAGAAAAACTTTTTTAAAAATGTCGTGCAACTGTGCTCTACTTCACCAACCCCCAAACCTCAAAGCTCCCTTTCTTCCCCTCCCCACCTCCCTGCCAAAGGCACCATCTGGCGTCCACCCAGTGCTGAGCCAATCCCTTATATTCTTTGAGCAACAGCACTGGGCAGTGGGACAGGGTGCTGTGGCTGTCTGGAGGGGGGCTGAACAGTACCACATCCCCTCCTATTCCAGGGCTCATTCCTCAGGGTCCCCTATTCTCAGCCTGGAAAAGTCTGAGGGGAGGGGGTGTGTAATGGCTTAAGGCTTTCAACAACTGTCCCCGCTGGGCCTGTGGTCCTCTCACCTTTTGTTTCAAAAGCTGCTCAGGCCCCTATCGTAGCCAGAATTTGGAAATCAGTTAGTGCCACCTAACAGACATGAGAAAACACATCTATTTATTGTCTCTGTGACCAACAGGGTTGCTTTAATGCTCGTTAATTTGCATTTCCAAGGAGAGCAATTTATTTTTAATTATTTTATCAGGCACACACGTCCTCTCCAAACATAATTAGTTCCTTTGCAAGGAGATTATTGATGGCTATGAGAACTCCCACCGTAGACCTACCAGTTCCTTGAATTCATGTCCCTTTATAGTCTCGCTTGAAATGCTTCAAATGTTTCCTTAAACATGTCAACACATTTCTTCTCTCCCAGGTAAGGGAGCATACTTTTACAGAAAACAAAGCTGAAATGAAGATTTCTTAGAAAGTATGATGATCCTTCCCCCTCAGTATTTAGAAACCTGTATTTTAATTGGGATTTGAAAGGAAAGAATGGAACTGTGAGCGGTCAGATAATCACACCTGCCTGGAGCACCCTTTCCCCCACCCCCTCACCCTTCACCTGGGCACTGCCCTTCCACTCTTAGCTCAAACACCTCTTCTTCACACGTGAACCCAGCACAGAGCAGACCCTCAAATATGAAAGCGTGCCAGCCAGAGCAAACCCGGGAAGTAGGGTTTCCAGGGAGCACCCCCGTGGTGACTCAGACACAGCCCCACTCCCCTAGCATGGCCGCCTTGTTTGTCCTTGATGCTCTGCTTTCATTAACAGCATCCAGAGCACATGCGATTTTCTAAGCAGCTTTTTGTCCCACAATAAGTTTCAGGCAACAAAAACCCCAAAGTCTTCTCCTTTTTTCCTTTTGAACTTCCAGATTAAAAATTTGTCTTGGTCCAATCTGGCAGATATTTTTACATGAAATCTCTTCTCTTTCCAGTTATATACTTGTTCATTTTAGTTTTTGAAACTTAATGGAGAGCTTTACTTTTACTCATCGATTTTAACTTTTCCATTTTATGTCACCACCTGGTTTTACTTTCGGCTTTTTGTGTCGTAAATCCTCCTTGGCAACAGGAGAGGGGTTGGCAAACTATGGCCCATGGACCAAATGTGGCCCACTATCTATTTTTTAAAATACAATATATTGGAATACAGTCACTCCCATTAACTTATATACAATCTACAGCTGCTTTCATGATAAAATGACGGAGTTGAGTCGTTGCTACAGAGACCATATGATCCACAAAGCCTAAAATGTTTACTATCTGGCCCTACAGAAAAAGTTTGCCAGCCTCTAGTCTCTTCTAATGGGGTTAATGTTCTGTCTCTCTTTGACGTGTATTGTTACAGCAGGTGGTCCCAAGGACAAACCGACAAAGGGAAAGTCGGAGAAAGGGCTCAGAGGGGCCTTGCCACCAAATTCTGAACACTGTCTACCCAATTTTTCCTGCTTTTATTAAGTTGGGGTGATCCAAGGGGTGGGGTACCAGGTGTAGGTTAGTTGATCTGTCAGGCAATAGGCTCAGGTTATGCTGATGCACCAAAATAGTAGCGTAGTTGATGCACCAGGCAATAGATTTAGTGTTATGCTGAGGTCAGGCAATAGCCTAGTTGATGGGCCAGGAAACAGGTTAGTACTATGCTGATGTGGGTCCTTTGTAAGTGGTGGGGGTCTCAGGTGCCTGAGGTGCCAAGTAATAGATGGGAGTTTCCCTTATCAGTATCACATTCCTGAGAAAATTGATTTGACCTATTACTATTTGAATCTGTTGTATATCTGATTAATTTAATAAATAATCCTAGGCTCTCAAGATTGGTGTCTAGTCCAAGCCATTCTGAAGTTTGACTCCTCTCTACCAGGTTTATACTAGAGGTGGGAAGCTTACCACCCCCGTGGTCCACACCATTGCACTGAGCACCCATGCTGTGCAAGACACACGGTGACACAGACATGATGAGGGCATGGTTGCTCCTTTCATTATTTTTAATGTATTGAGAAATGTATAGAAATAACTGACTTATGGCAGAAGAATACAACTGTAGAAAGTCATATGCCATAATAATTTTTAAAAATTATACACGATTTATTCATCATGTCAGAGTTTTCATGGCATCCTCATATAAAAGAGATTATTATTCCTGTCCTACAGGTAAGGAATTAAAGCTCAGAGAAGCTGGTATTTATCTAGGATCACCCAGCCATATGGAGAAGAGTAAGAGCTCAAATTTAAGTCTGCTGAGAAGTCCTGGGCTCTTTCCACAATAAACTATGCTCACATCCATTGCTATGGGGAAAATCTGGAGATAATAATACCTACCTCATATGGTTGTTATGGTGATCAAGTCACATACTTATATGGAGGGAAGTTTTAAACCATTTCAAGACATAAATGAATGGCAGCATAACTCAAGTTTTTCTAGACCTTACCTGTCTATGCACATAAATGAAATGAAATGAAATCAATAGTAATAATCCAAATTCTATAGGCTTTTGATCCATGATACTTATTAATATACAGGGTCTTGGCCAGCTACAGCACCCTTCAAATATTTCTAGGGGTTCCTCAGGATTCTGGGAAGTCATATGAGCTCACAAGCAAGGCCCTTCCCACGTGGTTCCCCGCTGCTCCATTGGCTCTGTGGGCTCCCCCTGCAGCTGGGATGCTGGGGCCATGACATGCCAAGCCAGATGGTGTCCAGTGGTTACCAAAGAAAAGGGCCTCACTCTCATTCTCTTTATACTACACCCTGCTGTAGGAGTACAAATCCAAGATTGCTTCTGTCCCTTTGTCTGAAGATTCTCTTGTGAAAACAGCTCCACTCGCTTTTGATCAATACCTCCTTTCTCTCTGGTCCAGACACCAGCCAGTCTGGGGCCAGGTGGAGGGCCAGACCTTGTGCTGTCCTCTTCATTTCCTGTCCTCTCTTCCCAGGAGCCTCTGCTCTAACCTTCTTCATCACAGGTCCCCTTTTCCTCCTGTAAGTGTGTGCTTAAGGGTAGGCTCCACCAATCGGCAGGCAGGGCCAGAGAAGTCTGCATTCCTGATAGGTTCAGGTGGGATTTCTGTTACACTAGCTATTAATCTTTACCACTGATGATATAAAGTGCTATGGCCATTTAGAAATCAAGGTCAAAGGAGATGTAATTTGGATTGGGCTTTACAAGTAAGAAAATATTATGACTAGAGAAATTGGGGTAAAGAGTATTCTGGGCAGAAGCAGCCCCATGAAAAGTGCAGTGCATAGAATAGCATTGGTTTGATTTATGTGTCAGATCTATGGAGGGAAGCAATGGGAGATAAATCTGGAAAGGTAGTCAGAGGAAACTTCTAGAGGTGGGGAGGGGCATATCTTGAACACGCATAAGAACTTGGACTTTATGTGGTAGACAATGGTGAGCCAGTGAATGTTGTTTAGTAGGGAAGGAGCAGCTGTGCTTTAGTAGAATTGAAAAGCAACAACATAGATGATGGGAGAGCTGGGGTGAGGATTGTAGTGGTACCCAGGTGAGGGAGGGCAGCCAGCTGGAAAGCCATCTTTACTTTCCTAATTTATGCAAGAGAGATAACACCGATTTTGCAAGTGTTTGAGTATAGAACAAAATTATCAAAAAGTTTCAAGTATTGTATCAAGCTCACAGAAGTAGCTAATATGTATTTATTAAATACAATGATACATGTTATGAGCTGGTCTTCTACCTGTAAGTGTAGAGATAAGAGACAGTTACATCATTCACTAACTTAACTGGTTTTCAATTTATCTTTTTGATACTTGCTTTTACATTTACCTTACTTGTTAGAAATGTGGAGTTTCTACCATGTCACCTCTAAATCCAAGGCTTCTTCTGGACCGTATCTGACTACAAAATAGAGATGTTTTGACTGGAAGCATAATTATCACATTAAACCCTTTGCTGAAACAAAAGACCACATTGTGTAAGGACAGCGATTAAGAAGTTTTGGCTGGGGGTGGTAGCTCACGCACGCCTGTGTCCTAGCACTCTGGAAGGCCAAGGCAGGAGGATTGCTTGAGGTCTGGAGTTCAAGACCAGCCTGAGCAAGAGTGAGACCCTGTCTCTACTAAAAGTAGAAAAAGTTAGCTATGTGTGGTGGTGTGTGCCTGTAGTCCCAGCTACTCAGGAGGCTGAGGCAGGAGGATCACTAAGCCCAGGAGTTTGAAGTTGCAGTGAGCTATGATCTCTCTACCTGGGGCTGACAGAGCAAGCCTGTCTAAAAAAAAAAACAAGAAAGAAAGCAAAGTTTCTATGTTATAATTAACCAGTATATGAAATTCCAAATGTATTACTACTTCAAGGTCACAATCGCAAGGGGATGGAAAGGGTGTGTGCTTCCATTTTAAATTGCCCTTTTCAATAATAGGATCCTTGATTGACCCTAGTCCCATTCTGGCACCCCGTGCTCCAGCCACACAAATTACTTGCCAGGTGAGTCCCTGATATTGTGTCTTTCATTTTGGAAATCTTTTCCTTTTCTTTGATCCTGTCCATCCCCACTGAATTCACTTCAGTATGTGTTTATCGCTCGGGTGTCTACATAAGATACTAGGGAAAAATAATTCTTCTCATTCTTTTGTTTGCAAGTTCTGGACTGGATTATGTTCACATAGAAAGAATTGTGATGCAAGCCAAAAACCTCAGAAAGTCCCCTACCCCCACGCATGTCCTTGGTAACTATAAGATTTTGAGCCCCCATAATCTTATCTTGGGTCCTCTCCCCCAAGAGCACACTCTGCTAGGAGATGTTTTTCTATGGCTTTATGTGCATGCATGGCATTCACGTGGAGAGACAAGGCAATCTGGAACCTGCCCTATACCACTGGTGCAAGTTTAAAGCCTACTACCTTGCCTTTTATTATGTACAAAATAAGTAGTACTTCAGTGTGAGGGATTTTCAACATTTTCTTAGTTATAATAGTAATAATTGAAAGTCCCAGGCCAATATAACAGAGATATACTATGACAAGAGCAATGAATGTTCTTTGATGACATGCATATGTATATATGGAGTGAGTCCCTAATCAAAACACATGCTCAGTAATAATTCTTTGAGCACAGTAGTACTATAGATCAGGGATCATAAACTTAAATGTTTCAGGGTCCAGGCAGGCAAGCAAAGAGAAATTATAGGTCTGGGGAAAGTCCTTAGGGAGGGATGAACACTAGAGCAATTGGACTATGCATATCTATTGAAAGGCACTCAAATTGAGCATGAGATATAAGATGTTGTACAAGGTAATAAAAATGCTTTGAAGGGTGGAATTCTGTCCCTTATTATTCGTGTGTCACATACTAAAGCCATTAATGAATACCAAAACTCTGGCACCAAACAGCATCTCAAGGCTATGCCCACATCTCAAGATCATGAAGCTCTTTGTCTATGTCTCCTTCTAGAAGTTTCATTGCTTTACCACTCAAAAGTAGGTCTGTAATACACCTAAAATTAATTTTTGTATAAAATATGAGGTAGAATTCTTTTGCACTACTGATGGGAATGTACAATGATGCAGCTGCTGTAGAAAACAGTATGGCAGTTCCTCAAAATTTATTAAAAATAGAATTACCATATGATCCAGAAATTCTACTTCTGGGTATATGCCCAAAATCATTGAAAGCAGGGATATGAAGAGATATTTGTATACCCATGTTCATAGCAGCATTATTCACAATAGACAAAAGGAGGAAGCAGCCCCATGTCCATTGAAGGATGAAAGGATAAACAAAATACGGAATATGCATTCAATAAAATATTAGTCATCCTCAAAAAGGAATGAAATTCTGGCACATGTCACAATGTGGATGAACCTCGAAGACTTGACACTAATTGAAATAAGCCAGTCACAAAAGGAGAAATGCTGTATGATTCCACTTATATGAGGAAGGTAGAGCAGTCAAATTTATAGAATCAGAAAGTAGAATGGTGGTTGCCAGGCCTGAAGGAGAGGGAAATAGGGAATTATTGTTTGACGGGTTATACAGTTTTAATTTGGGAGGATGAAAAAAATTCCAGAGATGGATGGAGGTGAAGGTCGCACAACAATGTGATTGAACTTAATACCCATGAAATGTACACTTAAAAATAGTTAAATGGTAAGTTTTATGTTATATATATTTTACCACATTAAGAAAGTAAGATAAAGGTCAGGTTTATTTTTCTCTATATGATTATTCCATTGATCCAGTATCATATTTTTTAAAAGAGCATCCTTTTCCTACTGCAGTGGCATCTATAACATAAATTAGGTCAATGTTCAGTTTTTATGTACTGTTTAAGAAATCTTTACCTATCCTCAATAGAGTTCAGTAATATATAAAATTACAACCAATCATGGTTTAATAACCATTTACTACTAAGCATGATTTATTATAGGGAATGCAAAATTGGTTTAATATTTAAAATTCAATCTATGTAAATCACTATATTAACAGAATAAAGAAAAAACACTAAGTTATCTCAATGGATGCAGAAAAATGAGTTTAATAATATTTAACATTTATTCTTAATTTATTCTTAATAATATTTTTCAGTAAACTGGTAATAGAGGGGAACTTTCTAATGTTGATAAAGAGTACCATACTAAATAGCGGATTATGTAGTTAGAGGATGTCAACTATCACTATGTTTATTGAACATTATACTGGAGTCCTAGCCAATGCAACAAGAGAAGACAAAGAAAAAAAAGGCAAAAAGATTGAAACAGAAGATGTTAAACTATCTTTATTTGCAGGTAACTTGATTATGTTTGTAGAAAATCTGAAAGTATCTACAAACAATGTTGCTGGATATGAGATTAACATGCTGATCAAAAATATTTTTGTATATTTATTTAAAATAAACAATTGGAAAATTAATTTGAAAATTACCATGCTTAATAGCATAACAACCTCAAATGCTTTGGAATAAATTAAACAAAATATGTACAAAAACTCTACATTGAAAACTATAAAATATTGCTGAGATAAAGAAGATATAATTAAATAAAGAGACATTCCATTTTCATAGATTGAGTGGCTCAATGTCATTAAGATGCCAACTTTTTCCAAGTTGATTTATAGATTTGATACAGTTGTTATCAATGGGGAGAAGGTGGTAATGTCCTCTGCTCCCCAAAGGATATCTGGCAGATTATGGAGAGAGATTTTTGTTGTCAAGGCTTGCTACTGGTGTCTAGTAAGTAGAGACCAGCTGTGCTTCTAAACACCCTAGAATGCACAGGACAGCCTCCCTCCCTCACAGCAAAGAATTGTCTGCCCTCAAATTCCAATACTGTCAGGTTGAGAAACCATGATTTAATGGAATCCTAATTTAAATTTCAGGTATTTTTAGAAATTGGCAAGCTCATTCTAACATCAAATGAAAATACAAATTACCTAGGATCAACAAAACAAGATTTAAGAATAAAAATTTGGAGAAATTACATTCTTAGATTCCAGACATAATATAAAACTGCAATAATGAAGACT